CCGCCTCCTGCCCGCCCCCCCCCCCCCCCCAGCTTTTTTTCCGCTGTGGGTTTTTTTGACACCAGGATCTCGTGGTGTCAAAAAAATCCCCTGTGCTACAAATTATCAGCATGGGGAATGTCTGCGGCACTGCATACTGCACATTCACACTCTTCTGGATGTGCTCTAAGAGTGTGATTGTCCTACAGGAACCCACAACCTTCTGCCTTGTGTAGTTCCCTAGGAGTCTGCAGGCATTAATGATAGTAGCTATTCTGGGTTCACTGCTTATTACCACATCCATTTTCAGAGCAGAATGTTTGCTTGGAAAGGTATGCTGGAGCCGGGAAACAGGCTTTTGCAAACAAAAACCAAAGCTTTTATAACCTATAAAATCTGCTTTGGGAATTGTCTGTTCAGAGGAAGAGATCCAGTCCTACAGCAGTTAGTGTGTGTTTGTGATATACAATTCTCCTGGCACACCAAAACAGTTACTGTGTGTGTCCTGCAGTAACATTGTTTGTGCCTGAAACATGTCTCCATTTTTCAAAACATCCCTGTGCTTTATATGTGTGTAACACACATGCATGAGAATATATTAAGGGTGACATAAATCTATTCCCAAGTTACTTCATAGGACACAGAGTACAGTATCATGAGGTCACATACACTTGAAAAGTTTTGTGGTGTCCCATTGGGACCCGTTATGCTAACTTAACTTGGTAGATTTCTTCCTCTGAACAGGTAATTCCCCTGGCAGAATTTTAAGATAGTCAAGCTATGTTGAACTACATACAAATATCAAATCTGTATAAGTTGTCCGTGCATGTATCACTGCTATGCTGCTCAGAAATTCTTCCAATTCCAAACTGTCACATTTACTACATGCAGCCATCCAAGCTGCTGGTCCTAAATATTCTCATTGTTCCTGTTGTGTTGCTGTTGTCCTGGACTTTTGCAACTATTTCATTCTTGAAATAGAAAAGAGGGAGAAGTTTTCTATTGATTAGCCATAAAACAGATAATATAAAAAGATCAATTCCCTTGAGATACACTACGAGTAGGTACAGACAGTCTAAAAGCCCAAGGTGGAATCGCTCTAAGGAACATGGTTTTCTGTAAGCAGCATAGTTTAGATTGAGCACAGACAGAAGTGCAGCTCCCTGCTGTAACTGAGAGCACTTTGCAGGAAGTGTCCTGAATTATAGTGATCTTCTGGAACGAACAGAAGTTCACTATTGGTTCCAGGAGGGAGAGGAATCTAGCTACTGGATGGGAGCCTGCAGCTGGTTTCCCCTAGCAATGGCCTCTCCTCATTGCATGAGGGGTCAGATGAAGTATTTTAAAACATAACATCTTCTGCAACTTCTGTCTATCTGCACCGCCTGCCAGCCTGTTGCTGTTTTCCAGAATGAGAGGGGAGAACAGGAGGAGAAGGAACTCATTGTAGGGGTTCCCCACCTTGGGGAGGAAGGGGGAGAGGGAGGGAGCTCCAATACACTTTCCCCACCCTCAATTGCAGGATGAAAAACCTCCAGACTGAACTCCTTCCTCTCCCTTTCCCTCCTGTTATTTTGAAAACAGCAACAGGACGGCAGGCAGTGCAGACAGAAGTTACAGAAAATGTTATGTTTTGAAACGTCTTCATCTGACCCCTCATGCAATGAGGGTTCAGATTTTCACCTGATTGGCCAGCAGTCTGAAGCCATGCACTTGTGTTTGGTCACAGCTATAGACCGCTTTGTGGCCAGATTTGGAAAAAATTGTCACTTCTGTCTGCGCCCCACAGATCATGCAAGAAATCCAATTAAACAATGTGAATGGGGGAAGCTTGATAATTCAGCAATAGGATGCAGAACTTTCACATCTGTAATCACTCATAGGTTTGCCTGCAGTCTGAGTTAGTATCATGGGGTCACTGTAGTTGTTTAGGGTCCTTTGGAGAAATGACTTGAGCTATCTATGTCTGATCCGCGTGGATGAGAATTTACACTACAAATAAAGTAAGCAACACAAAACAACACTTGTTAGTAGTCTCAGTAAAAAGTCCAAGGGTTTCCATGTGGACAGATGCTAAACCAGCTTGTTACTCCGGGAATTTGTTCTCTATGGGCACCTATACATGTGATGGATGTCTGCTGTGATGCATGCTAAGTAGCACGCATCAGAGCAGACTAGCACGCTCCAGCAGCCTCCGTATCACGTGTATTTAGTGTCCCTGTATTTCAAAATGGTGGAGGACATGCTTTAACTAAAGCTTATCAAATGAGCTTTAGTTAAAGTTCCCTTGCCACCATTTTGAAGTGCAGGATGCTGAATACATGTGATGCTGTGGACACTTTAATTAGAGCAGCACTTAGAGCATCTCTAATTAAAGCACCCCTGCTCTGCCCTGCAGCACGTTTATAGCTGCCCTATGACTAGAAACAGAATATGGGAAACTTGTCCTTTTTCCTGGACAAAAAGAAAAGTTAAGTTTTCTTGAGAAAAGATTTTCTTCAGTTTCCTGAAGATGGGGTGGGAAAAAAGAAGGAGAAAAGAGTTTATATTTGAAAAAAAGTGTTAAGACACTATATGCATATTCTCTCCATAGAGCTCAGAAATTGAACTTATAGTAAACAATATTCAGGGCACTTTTCTAGCCATAATGATGCATCTTAACCTTTTCATCCATGCTGCTCCTCATAAAATTGCATTGCTAAGAGTAAAACAAAGGAAGATAAACAACTGAAAGATACATAAATGTATCTTGGGGCAAATGCAGTTATAATATGGGACGGAGCCACAGCAGTTTTCAGGGATGGGGGCTTTTGCAATTTTGGAGATAGTGATTACATATCAGTCTCTTCCTTCTGGTGTCTGCAACCTTTATAGAGGATGCCAGGGCTGCCCAATAACAAGAGTTCTTAAATGTATCTGTTAAGGCTACAAATTAGCAAGTGCTTGAACACATGCTGGAGATCTAGGGACTGACCCATCTTTATAGAATGCACGATTTTTATGCAACCCTTTTCTGAAGTACTTCCAAACTGTGATTAAATATCATTAACAGATGCATCTGTAATAAGAGATGCTAATAAATTGTATACGTTGTAGGGGGCTGAGGTCTAATTGTTGGATAATCCTTTAAATTTCTGGGGTTTTATGCATTTCAAGTTAACATTGTACTAACTTAGTGTATTGCATTGAATTGTATATACACTTTTGAGCACTACTCTCTAGCAATACCTTAGTAAAATTACTCTTAAAGCAATAAGTTAAGCCATGCTATTCTACTCTATGTTAGTACTGCACTTACTGCATATCAGAGTGCCTTGCAGTAGTGCGTTAAGTGATGTGACAACATCTGTTTTTGTGTTATTTGTTCTCTCATCCGCTCCCCAAGGGGAGAAGTATGAGCAGTGCAGTGTCTTGGTTTAGTTCAGTGCTGTTTTTTACATGCACATGTTACTAAGGTCACAGAAACATGCCTTGCACTTGGAACAGAAGGTGGGGGGGTGTTAGTGATTCCTGGCACAGTTCATTCATAATCTTGGGCAAGCCCCCAAAAAGATTCTCTCTCCTGCCATGGAAATACTGCTTCTTGTGTTACGTTCTTGTCTTTGTACTTCATTACTGGGAAATAATAAATACTGTATAGCAGCAATAAAAACAACAGGCGAACAGTAAAGAAATGTCTGTATCATAAAAAGCAGTGAATGGATGTTAAGATTGATTAATAGGTGGAGTGAAGAGGTTGTGTTTAATCTATCTCAGTGTTCATTTGCTGTAAATACTCCAACAAGTCATTGTTCTTCCCTAATGAGATGAGGGCATGCTGTGTCACTTCAGAACGTGGTTTTCTGGGATTGAGCAAGTGGTGATTTTTAAACATAAGCTATTGTTTGAGAAAGTGGATAATATAGAAAAAGGAAAGTTAAATGAGAACTATGGATATGGTGGTTATTTTTTAAGACTTCTTCTGGTTGGCTGAAATTCCTTTGCATTTATGTAATTACCAAAGTGCACAAGTATCCTACAAGATTTGCATTTATTAAGTGGAGTAAAATTTTCAAAAGTACCTAAAAGACCTAGGCTCTGAAACTTCCTCTTCAAAGGAAACATGGACACTTAAAAGGATCTATTCCATGGAACTTAACCTTCTTCATATCTTTTGAAAAAAGTGACTTAGGAGTCTATCTGTCACTCATCGTGACATGCACAACCAAACACAAAATGTCTCCAGTTACCCAAAAAGGTACTTTTCCCTGGCAAGTGGTTATTGCTTGAGGGTTTATGTGGCATTATGGTTAGAACAAAGGAGAAAGCACCAGGAGATGTGGTTCTATGCTGTTGACGTACATATACCCCCAGGCTCTGTTGCTCACTTGCTGCCTCATGTTGGAGATAATACTATTTACCCTTCTCTGAATATGCTGTAAATTCCTCAGAGGAAAAGTTCTGTATAGTGTGAAGTATATTTGGGAACTCCATTCATCATGTCATTTCATGCATAGAATGAGAGTGTGTTAGTGTTTGGAATGTGTTGGGATGTGTAGGCCTTGGACAGCATTGGGGGGGGTAAATATCCATTCAGGTAGACAGATTCCCCACACCTGCCAAGTTAGTTAGGATGCTAATCAGGAAACCCTAGCTCATTTGCAAGGCTAAGTCCAGCAGGCACGTAGGGATATAACCAGGATGGCTATGAAGCAAACAGGGAAGAAGTGTTCTGGAGGAACTGAGATGGCAAGATTAAGTGTTTCTGTAATGGGAGATACCACTGGCACTTTGAAAAGGATAATGTTTTAATTTATTTAGATCCTGGTTGTCCCAGGTGTTATATACTATATGCTATATATTATTTGATCACTGCCTAAGGGAAGGATTTAAACAGGTTGTGTAAGTTTCTTTTTCCTTGAGTAGTCAGTTGCTGTGTTGTGTAGCTTCTCAAAAATATATGTTGCATCAGAGAAAAGAGATT